AAGTCGTTTAAAGAATCTACAAAAAATCGTTTTAAAGATGTGCGATCTGAAATTAAGGAAGACGTGCTTAAAAAAGTGCAGACAGGATCGGGTATAAAAAGAAAACGACGAAAAAGATTAACTCAGTCGGAAAAGAAGAAGAAGCGAAAACTTAACGATATTTTCGGTAATTAAGAAACGATGAATGTCCATTCGTGTGGCTGCACCAAATCCGAATTAGATTTGTTTAAGAATGTGGGAATCCAACTGGCTATCGACAATACGTATGAAGTCACTGCGCATCCCGTCGCTGCAATTAATGACAGTAGATCACCTATAGAATTTCTTATATCAGGATCGGGTGAGCATTATATGGATCTACATTCGATTTATCTATGTGTTCAAGCGAAAATCGTAAAGAAAGATGGATCAAACCTTGGGTCGGAAGAGAAAGTTACTCCTGTTAATTATTTTTTAAATAGTTTGTTTTCTCAGTGTACTGTGTATTTAAATGACAAATTAGTAATTACGCAGGTTAATTACCCGTATCGAGCTATATTAGATGCCTTGCTATTTAATTCGAAAGAAGTGCAAGAAACTTTTTTAACGAGCGCGTTATTTTTTAAAGATACTGCCGGACAAATGGATTCAATAAATCTGTTAGATGAAAATAATACTAAATACGGATTAGTTAAAAGATTTAACATCAGCAAAGAAAGTAGAATAATAGATTTAATGGGGCGTCTTCGTATCGATTTAACGAATCAGCCTAAGCTTCTAACGAACAATGTAGACCTAAGAATTAAATTGGAAAGATCTAAAGAAAATTTTTCACTAATGGTGGATAACAACAACTATAAAATTATTATTAAAAACGCCTCACTGAAAATTAATAAAGTAGATGTTAGTTTGTCAATACAGATAGGAATTGAAAAGCATTACAGACTGGAATTGAAAAGCATTACAGACTGGTTTAATTAAATTACCGTTTTTGTCGAACAGATGTGAAAGACTTTACGTTAACTTGCGGGATTCAATCTACAAGTATATCAAACGTTGTTATAGGCCAACTACCTTATAGAATAACTCTCGGATTAGTTTCTAATTCTACATTTAATGGAAATGTGAAGCGTAATTCTCTTAATTTTAATAATTATGAATTAAATTATATATGTTTATCAAAAGACAATAAAATGATTCCTTATAAACCCTATACTCCGGATTATGCCAATAACATTTATGCAAGAAATTTTATCTCATTATTCGAAGATACCGGATGTATTCATCATCACAAATCTATAAATATATCGTAAAAAGAGTATCGAGACGGTTATACTTTATATTGTTTCGATCTTACCCCTCATAAATCAGGCTCCGAGTCTCACGTTAGCGTTAACGAGCTTGGAAATATTTCTGTGGAATTAAAGTTTTTGAAGGCGATACCAAAAACTATAAACGTTATTTGTTTGCTAGAACATAATAATACCCTAGAAATCGATCATTCACGAACCGTATTCGTCGATTATTAATGAATACCGTTACGTTGTGGAGATTAGCAGCGAGCGATCCGAAAATAAAAAGAAATTTTGGAGGTGTTTTTGCATCTGACAATCTACCGTTTCGAGTTGGNGATGCCTGCATCGCACATTTAGACTTGTTTTATTTTTATACATTTGACATTAGATATATATACTTATACTTTTTTAAATATTTTTGTTTGTTTGTTCTCTCTTTCATAATATGAAAAGTAAGTTTCTGAAAATCAACGCGTGGGTCATTTAAAAAGCCTGTGTGGGTCTGTGTCTGACCACGGGTCATAGGTTCGCCATCACTGGCCTGGAGAGTTCTACTGCAAGCAAAAGTGAAGTCTATTAATGGAATTCATTGACCATGTAAACGCTGATTTAGTTTCTGAATAAACCCAAATCACAAAGGATTTGTATGGTTAACACAGTGGATGCTCAAAAGCTTTACGCCGTTTCTGCAGCAGTGCAATTATCATACTAGCAATATGTCAACGAGTATGGTCTCATATAAAACTCGGCGTTTCTTGTTCAAGTGTACGTATGTTCAGGCAATGTGCAGGTTGTAATTGATATTCAAGGAGCTTCACGTAAGAGGTCGATTACCTTACACAGATGCTTTTCTATAAAATTTATTTGATTTAACGTTCATTACTTTGTGAGGCCCGAACGATACTCGAGTTCACGTGTTAAAAATATCATAAAGGTGTCAAATTAAGAGATCATGCGTTGATTCTAACGCTCGTAAAAATTGAAAGAAAAACCTAAATAAAATCGGGAAATAATAAAATTATTAATCGAGAGAAAAAAAAACAGTTTTTAAATAACCTTAAAAGGAGATGCAGCCCTGATATTGTGTGTCAGACGTGAAAGAATTCAAAAGAATTAAATACGAGCAGGAGTTTCAAGGTGCGATTAACTTCCCTTCATAGGATTAAAACACAAGTGTCGAATTAAACCTTTCGTAGCCCGAAATGGTCTGTCATCTGCTTAGATACAGGAAACCGATCAATCAAAAGGTAGAGATCCGGGTAAAAAAATCTCTTAAAAGCCTGAATCTCGAGGACAAAGGCAGACTTTTCCCTGCTTCCTCTACTGATGTTAACTGTAGAGACTTTTTCTAGACTTCTCCCAGACTTTGATAGTGTAACCACTTTTTAGACTTTCCCAGCTAACAACTCTAGTCAACTGTCCAGACTTTTCCCTGCCTCCAGGAGTGGACACCATCCTGTTTGAACTTGTAATGTAAACTCTTTTGTAGATTACAATGGGAAATCTCGGACTACTTTATTTTTATATGATGATTATGACCTTTAATTACAAAGCATATATGATTGCACCAGCACTGACAAAAGGGATTATCTTCCTACCGGAAAGAAATTTCTTGATGACTACAAGTCAATGGACAATAGCAATAGAAATTACATTTAACGACTATGATAAATACCTCAACGATCTGCATTATCATCTAAGTTCATTAATTCCTGTTACTAAAAGAGCTAAGCAAAACAAGGACCATCCTATGAGACATTTATGGTCACTAGCAGATCCCAAACTGGCTACACTAAACCAAGAATTAGCTAACTGTGAATTAAAGTATAATGAACTGAAGTTTACGGTTACGATCGGTAATACTCTAAGATCCAAACGAGGCATTATAAATGTGGGAGAAAAATCCTAAAGTTTTTGTCGGGACATCACACTCGGAAGAAATTGAAGCCACTAATAACGAGATTGACAAACTGAACAAAAACCAACAACGAATAATACACATCTTGGAAGCCCAAACGACGGTATTAAATCAAACACTCCGAGCCGTCAAGGATAACCGGAAATACTGTACATCGACATGTTACTACGAAGACAAGAATATTTAGACAAAGTCTTACAAACGTTTAGCTACACATTTTTCATAAGTACTATCTTGTGATACGCCGAGAGCGCTATCGCCGAATTCAGATCAATCATCACCAACCTACGACAAGCGACTGAAATGTTAGAGCGCAACCGAAAATATTTTTATAAAATTTGGATTCGTATAATTTTTATTCTGCAGCTTATCAAAAAAAATACTAAAATGAAATACAAGTATCCAACACATTATTATCTTAATCATCTATGTCAGGCCCATTTTATACAATACAGATAAATACGAACAACAGATCGTTAAAAACAGTTAAATTTACTCAGTTGCGTAGCGTTGGTGTCAGCCGCCTGGGGCAAAGGAAAATTTCGCCGTTTCGTTATTTAGGTATCTCAATTTAAAGATTAAAATTCAGTTTCATCACAGAATAAGTAATGAAAAATTCCGTGCTAGTGTTGCCACCTTTTAAAATAGTTTTATAGGATATGGTAGGTGTATATGAATAAGAATGAATCATAGAAGCAAAAACAAAAGAAAAAAGCTCGTCGACAGGTCGCGCACAACATTCCCGGGTAAAATTAATAGTTCACCAGACGGTGAGTCGATTCCCAGACTGTCCGGATGGTAGCACTATTCCGTGCTCATTTCAATCGGTCCGAATCGTAGGTGAGACGAAAATATGAAATAAAATAGTTAAAATTTTTACATGATATTATTATTATTTATTGTGAAATTTTGCCGCCCCCTAAAAAGTGCCGCCCGGGGCGGGCCGCCCCTGCCGCAACCACTACGCTACGCCACTAAATTTACGTAAACTTAAATATGAGAAATTATCAATGTTATAAATAAATCAAATGCAATAAACAGCATAAAATAGTATTATTGTGAAGCAGATTTAATAACAATAACCATAATACATTTTATTCTCATACTTTTTATCTATAAAAATATGAATTACAATTTATGAGTAAAGTTTAATAATAGGTAGAATTATTTCGATACAGTTTTTAAATGCACAAGTAGGCCTATAGGTTATATGATATAGGCCTATGTTTATATAAATTTGTAATAAATTTTATCGCAATATTCAGCTTATTTAATATCTTACAACATTCATCTTTTTTCTACACACATTCTTATACCAAATATTGGGGTCAACACAATTGCGTATGAGATATAGATTTTATCCAGAGGATCCAAAGAGTAAACTTTAAAATTACGAAGAACATTTGCCAAAACCATTTTCATTGTAATCATGGCGAGTTTACTTCCTGTAAATAAATTATTTTAATGACATAATTCTTTTGTTTTTGTATTTATTCACTAATCACTTACCGAGACAATTTCGTGGACCGACAGAAAATGGCAGAAATGCATAAGGATGAAGATTTTTATAGTTTTCAGGTAGAAAACGGTCTGGATCGAACACTTCGGGATTTTCGTAAACAGAAGGATTATGATGAATACCATAGATACTTATGATAAGAGTCGAATTTGCAGGCAACACGTAATTACCTGTTTGAATGACAACGATTTCACGCTTCGAGTCAATTACGAATATAAAATATGATTATTGAAAAACAAATTCCAAAATATCAAAAATTACCTATTTTCATTTCCGATGGGTTTTTTCTTGCAATTAAAGGATAAGTAGGATAGATTCTTATCGTCTCCTGAAAATTGTAATATATAAAACTATTCCTTGAATGAATTAAAAAAATTAAGAAGTTACCTTAATTACGCATTCTAAGTACGTCATTTTCGTCAGGTCATCGATCGTAATATCTCTATTCATATCATCTTTGAAAATTTCTTGCAATTCTAGATACACTTTTTCTTGTATTTCGTGGAATCTTCCCAAGAAATAAAGAGTCCATGAAATAGGGTGGGCGGTGTTATCGTAACCCTGATATTAAAATACGTTGAAAAGAAATGTAAAATTGCTTTCTATATAATTGACATTTGCAGTAAAATAAATACTGTATAATAAACTTTAAAATTAGGAAAAGGAATGCACGAATGCCGCACATCTTTCATATTGATGCCATACCAGTTTACAATGCACAATCAGATTCCTTGCAGTAAGCAGTTCACATAGTTCTTCGTACTTTATCTTTATCTTTATTTACTCCCGATACTGCCAGAGCATAATCAAGTTAAATACAGAGATATATATAAGCACAGATAATTACATACATAATAAGAGAGAGATAACTTACAAACAGTATGACAATAGAGAAGAGGTATGAACAGATGGTGAGATGACCGATACAAATCAACCGATATGATAAATAACTTGAGAGAAGGATAACATGTACAGTAGTATAAAATAGACAATACTAATAGTAATAATAAACATTGCACAGATATATGTTACAACAGAACGAATAATGATATGTACAATAATGTGCAGGGATCAAATGAAGATAGTGTCAGATGACAGACTTGATATCTGTGTAGATAATTGTTATTGATGAATCTCATCTGTGTCAGTTGAAGAGTCCACCAGGGATCAGGCGGCCTCCCTCTGCATTTCCTGGGTATGTGAGTATCACAAGCAAGATTAACTTTATCGATGATGTCATCAACGACTTTTACAGTTGCAGCCCTGTTACTGACAACAAAATTCTGGGCAGTGATGTCTTTTAGCATGTCAGTGATGAGTTCCCAGCTTAGGCCCAACATTATAGGGCCTAACAATCCTAGAGTGATTAACATAGATGCAAGCAGAGATCCTAATGCTAATAAGGGCATGATCTAAAATGTTATTCATGTCCATTAACTCTCATGAATTCAGCAAAGGGCTAAGATTGTCAGAATAATGAGTGATATCCATCCACGAATAGCCAAAACTACCAGTAAAGATTGGTCGTGAAAATGGATCGTTTGCAATCAGTAAATTATTTACGATAAAATATCAATGATCTGATTTCGAGAGTTTACTGTTTCTTTTAATAAGGAAACAGCCCAGAAACTCTCAAATAGCGCCAATTGTATCCGGCGTAAGTTTCGGTGATAAAATGAAAGAGAGAAAAAAATGCGTCATTTTACCTCTTCCCAAATACAGGCATATATGGAAGAAGTGGAAAATAAATAATATTAATAGAACCGAGGAGGTTCCAACTGTTACCTCTCGCGGAAAACGTAATTATTGGAGATTAGGCCTGGTTTTAAAGAAGTGAAGTGTTAGTATTGTACTACACCGTACGTAGCAGCATAAATGAAAATTAACATAAATACATAGAGTTTACAAAAAAGAAAATTATTAAAATTTTAAAATATTTATAATTTATTATAACAATTTTGTTTATAATTTTAACACGGTTAACAGAATAGATTGTTATACATGTGCGCCTTTGCAAACGAAGTGTCAGTTCCTCAATGAAACTAAAAATTTATTTCCCCCATATTCGATATTATCAGATTAATTCTATTAACACAAATGTGCTCGATCGATAGACGAAATGATCGTTAAATTGTCCACAAACTGCGTAATTAGTCGAACGAAAAAGCTAAATACACATCGTCCAGCTTGAATTGTCTCGACTTACGACAAACCATTCATGTCGTAATATAACGACGCATATTTACGATGTTTTCAGGCATTTGGTTATTATGGACTTGAATTATTTCGGATTACAAAATATTTCGTTCATGATCTCAGACATTACTTGATTTGAATACTTTAAAATGTGTTTATAAAACGAATTTGATTAACTAATACTCAAAAATATAATTTGAAAACAGATAATAACCCAATAAATTTACAATCTACTATTATACATAATCATTAGAGAAACCGAATTCGATATGAAGTCGAAAAAGTAAGGTACGACTCTTTTTTAAGACTCGATTTGCCCGCTTTAATTATATATAATAATCATAATAATAATAATGTTTACAAATCACCAATAGATACACATTTTTAATTTTTCAAAATTATACCTTTCCTGCGTGTATATAAACAGAGAAGATATACACTAATTAAAAAACTTTTTGTTTTATATCCAAAATTTCTTCCTATTACATTTCACATAATAAAAATATAAAAGGACCAAATTCAAAACTACAAATTTTTAGATGTTAAAAAACTATAAATTAATTCGAAATTACAAATATTATTTACTTTAACAATTAATTATGAATGAAATGCAATGATTTCATAAAAATCTTAAATTAAAGACAATTTCTAGTTACAAGGAAATAATTATGACTACTTTTGAAATAGGTTTTACGTTATTTATAATTTTTATCGCCGAGTTAACTGTTTCATAATTATTTTCGATTACACCTTTAATAAA